GGATGTGAAATTCTACACCCGTTGCAGATTTCTTCCAGGTAATTTCTCAACGATATGTTGAGCAGATGGAGAACAGCTGTTTTTACACTGTCAACGAGAGCTGAAGTCACCCAGCCGAGCGAATCCACATCATGGCCTTTGTTCATGTCACAATCACATTCAAGTTCTTCAAGGGGGGATGGGAGTCCATCCATCTCCAGCTCCTCTTCACCGGAATCAGCAGAGCTTCATGGGCGGGTGTGCCTGCAGTGACGTTCTCGGACAGTTCCCCTTCACTGGGATTGACGGAGGTACTAGCTGAGCTCTCGATGTTGGTCTTGTGCACTCTAGCTGAGTTCTTGATGCCGGCTTTGTGCTCAACGATGGAGGCCAGCTGTCTTGCTCTTCTCCTATGAGTGACCATCAGTAGAACTTCGCCCAGAGAAGGAACGGATGAAGAGTAGGAGGATAGAGAATAAGTGACCGGTGAAGATGAGAAATACGGTACGTTGCATCCTTCAGGTACGTCAATGTCGTACATGCCCCAGCAGGATGCGAGAGTGTTCTGTTTTGACTGTTCGGCCATGTTGATTTCTTCCTTTCTCGTCTTGCAGAGTTTGCAGAGTTTGTAGAGTGGAGTTGAAGTGGAAAAGTCTTTTTCACCTGTCCCCTTATATAGGAAAACTGATGGTGCGTTCACACCGAACGCGATTTCAGCGTCAGGAGCTGCAGGTTTACATACAAAGTCTATGGTGGACGCACTTCAAGCAACGTCGGGAAGTTCTGCGGCGCCTAAAGCGCGATTAGAGCAGCGCGATTTGAACGATTTGAACGATCTGAGCGTTTGACGCGCTGAGGCGCAAATCGCTGAAGTTAGAAAATCTGAACTTTTGCAGCTCGACGCGCAGCATCAACCAACCAGAGAAACTCCACTGTGTGTCGTAGCGACATATTTCCCGACGTGACAGTTTACTGAATGATGTCCACTAACCTGAAACCGACGGAAAGGAGCTCTTTAGCTGAAATGAGTGCCTGTAGTCGTGTCCTGATCCGCAGCAAAGCGTGGCAGCGACTCATCAGACTGGAAAAATAGTCCTGAAAGTGAGCTGTGAGCCTCTACTCTGAATTATCTGGTGAATTAATTATGAATTAATTATCTGATGAACGTGACATGCTCTTGCTCTCTGTAAATAAAGCAAAGCCACTTCCTCGTCCGACATTAAACAGAGCCCGACAGAGGAGGGAGGGTCGGGGAGGCTCTGCCGTGCAGCGCTTCAACAGCTGTCCTGCGTCTGACCTCAAAGTGCACAAGCTTCAAACTTCAGTGTTGGCTGCGATTTTGAAGCTGAAATCGCGTTCGGTGTGAACGCAGCCTGAGGCTTGTGAGGGCAGCGCGTTATGACGTCACATGGGGGGGGTGGAGCGACGTGACGTCACAGGAGGCAGAGCGTTGTGAGGTCAGAAGGTTAATGTTTTTCTCACATCCACTGTATCATTCCAGCAGTGAGAGCTGCGGAACAGGTCCCAGATCTTCTCTCCTATTTTATCCAATTTCTGTACCCATTCATCGATCGGAATAGCCAGCAGAGGTTTGAAGATGCCGCAATCTGAATTCACAGACTCCAGAACAAAGAGGTTAGCGGGAAACTTGTGATCAAACTTGCGAATGCTAGCTCTGAATGACCACTTGCCGGTCAAGCCCTCTTTGGTCTGCCAGACTGCGCTGAAGAGAAGTTTTTTCTCTGCGATTTCTGCACTGGTTGGAAAAAGAGCCCTTCTGACACGTTTCACGATGGAGGTAATATTTCAATTTCTTCTCCTTGGCTTTAGGCAGCTTTTGTAGTGTAGTACTTGCGAGGGATGATTAGTTTCAGTTCCGCCCAGTCGTTGTACGTGAGTAACCCCACTGGGGTGAACGGCTCCAATTCTCCTGCTTCCTCCAGCTGATAAAGGGTTAGCTCGCCTCTTTCATAATTGAAAACGTAACCCCACGATCCGAAGAATCCATGCGGTTCCAGAGATCACTCCTGATGCAGCTGCTCAGGCAGAGGAATTTGCGTTCTGCACAGGTAGAAAGTGCTTCTCCAGGGAGCGTTGACCTCTCGGTCAGAATGATGGTAGATGGAAACGGCGGTTTCACAAATGAGAGCGTCATTCTTTACCACAGGGGTTATGAGATGCATGTCCTCAGTCTATGTTGAGGCATCTTTCGTAGCTACTGAATTATTTTCGACTGCGGTACCCTCGCTTAAAGTTGTCGAAGTTGTTGAAGATGAAGCCTCAGCAACAGGAGGCTCCATGGCCATGGCAGATGTTGAAGCGACGACAGGTGTCTTCGCTGCAGGTGTCTCTTCTTGAGCGCGCTGTCCAGCTTCCTTCACATTTGCAGCCTTTGTAACCTTTGCAGGTTTGTTTCTCTTTACTCTAACCATTTTTGTTCAAGTTGTCAACAGCAAATACTGGTGGTGATAGAATTAATGTGAAGACGCTGTAAGAAGAAAATATAAAGGAATAGAAATCCCACCCATCTTTTCTGATTGGTTAGCAAGCTCTGGCGGGGCTGGACTACTTATTATTTCTTTGTGATGGACAGAATCAAAAGACGCATTCTATTCCTATAGCTTCTATTATAAGAGAGTGTTTCTCATGACCCCAGAGGTCACACCTGTTATTATTAAAGGTGGAAGAGGGGGTGAGAAGGGGGCTTTCCCATGACCCCAGAGGTCATGCCTTGACCCTAGAGGTCACAGCTTGACCTCTGACTTTGGGTCATCCATCATTTTGACAGAAAGTGGGTTATATTGTTTTTTGCCATTCAGTAGGTAGAAGAAGTAAAACCTATAAAAACTATTATCTGTTCAGACTCAAGTTCAGTTTTAATGAGTATAAAAAAACAATCACTAAGACAGCAGGCCAGACATTTTACTAGAAATTAGTCATACATTATTCAGAATACAACGGATGGGGTTAACTGTTGTTTTTGTCTGGGTACTAGTATAGGGGTAAGAGGAAATGAAAAAGCAGATAAAATGGCAAAGAAAGCAGTTAAAAGTGAGATTAACATTATAATTAAGACAAGTAAATCTGAAGCAAAAAGTATAATTAAAGAAAGACTGAAGAAAGAATGGCAGAAGAGATGGGAGAGAGATAACAAAGGGATGTGGTTTTATAAGATCCAAAGAGTGGTAGGAGAAATGAGAGCTGGAAAAAGGAGCAGAAAAGAAGAAAGAGTGATAACAAGGTTGATATTTGGGCATACAGGACTTAATTTGACACTTTTTGCAATACAAAAACATAATACAGGGAAATGTGATTACTGTGGACAAAATGAAACCATAGAACATGTTATAAAAGAATGTCAGAAGTACAAGCAAGAGAGACAATTTATGATAAAACAGTTCAGAAACATTAAGGAAAGGTTTGACATAATAGATCTATTACAAAAGAATTTAAGGAGCAAACATATACAAAACATGACACGATTTTTGAAAAAGACAAAATTTTTTAACATGATTTGAGTTGATATTATTTATTTATTTATTTATTTATTTATTTATTTATTTATTTATTCATTTATTCCTTTATTCATTTATTTATTTTTAATAGGTAGATTTGAAAATGTAAAAAGAAATACAATAATTTTAGTAGTATACAATTCATCTTGAATCACACTCCATACCAGTAGGTGACGGTAATGCACACCTTCAGTTTATTGCCAACCGCCATTAAACACCACAAGAAGAAGAAGAATGTGTCATAGGCCTCGTGAAATTTCCGAGGCGTCCTGAACGCGTCAGCAGTGGTTCAGTGAAGATGGCGAACTGTAGACGTGTTCCCTTGTTTCTAGTTCTCTTCTGCAGCTTATCGCATGTACACCAACTTCGAGCTGAAAACAACATTATCTCCAAACTAGGAATTAATGCTGAAAGGGCTCAGAACCTGGGCGGAGGTCCGGGAGCCGCAGCGGCGAACCCAGGCACTGCTGATCGCATCCAGCCTGCTGCGGCCTCGCTGACTCGGAGGCGTCCTGCCGGCTGGAAGCTGTCTGAGGAGGCGGTGTGCAGAGAGGACCTTACCCGGCTGTGCCCCAAACATTCCTGGAACAACAACTTGGCGGTACTGGAGTGTCTGCAGGACAAGAAAGAGGTAAATAGATTCCCGTTGTTTCTGTTCAGATCCGGGGTGTGCCTGTTAACCACCCACTGTTAGCCACGTTAGCTGCTACACCGTATTTTCAGAACGTCATACGAACTGCCGCACAAAAAATCTGCAATTAAGAAACTATTGTCATTGTGATTATTATACTGAGTTTAGAACCAGGGTAAGTGCCGATTTTAAAATATTAAGTTGCAATGATCAATTCGGCAGGAAGCAGAGCCAAAACTGTCAGCTGTCTTCATTACAACTTAAATCTGTTTGTCTTAGGAGGCGAAACAACGTTGACCATTTTAAAACGAATAGTTTTAAAAATTATATATACTATCAGCAAAGCGTGGCTTTAAAGCTTCCTTTTTATTATTTTAATGTCAGTGAAAAGTAGATGATTCAGGAAGTTGGGAGTCGTTGCAGCAAGACGTTCATCTGAATCAACTTTTAGCAAAAGTCGGTGTCTTTCAGGCATCAGGTGTTACTGGTTCTGTAATCTGTTAAACATAATTGATTTAGATTAAAGCAGGTAAACCTGGATTCTGCTTAAGCTCAGTTTGGGGTAAACCTTAAGTATTTTTGGTTAAACATGTCTCAGCTCAGTGTTTTCTTTAAGGACACGCTGATCCTGAATTCCTTTGGGTCACTTTATAATATGTTTAACATCCGAGCTCTGCTGAGCTGTGGTCCAACCTAACTGCAGGTTTACAGCAGGCTGGTTCTGTGTTTGGACCTGGTTCTGTGCCCGGACACGAACCTCCGTCTGCAGCACCAGGACGGCTGGGTTTTTGTGTTTCAGCACCGGTTTTAGTAAGATGTTTAATGAATTAGGGTCAGAGCCTTTCTGATTATCTGGTCCATTTGTCATGTTAAAGATCTGTTTCCGATCAGAACAGAGCTCAGAGTGATGATAGCATGTGATGTTTTCTAAAACCCCTTTCTTCCTGACACACAGACAGCAGCTGCAGGACTTTTATCATTAATCCGAGCTCTAATCAGCTCCTTTCAGTGCTTGTTTGGAAACGACCTTCAGTTTGAAGGTTATTTTATTTTCAGTGGACGGAGTTTACACTTTCCACCAGTTGGTAAACTTTATACCAACTCTGGTTCAGATTACTTTCAGGTTTTTAGACGTGGTTTGTGGACCTTTGGTTTTGTTCAGGGTTTTGTTTGGGCTTTAGATGGAGCTTCAGCCAGAATCTTTTCCACTGTTGGAGCCTAGTGGAGACACACAATTGCAGCCGAATTGTGAAGAAAATTAGCTGATTTTGAGTCGCAGCCTCGCTGCTGAACGTGTAATTACCAAGAAGTGGAAAAAAACATATCTGTAATCAGTTCTTTTGTCTTCTGAGCTGCAGTTAAAACCAACATCAGCTACATGACGATGAAGGGCAGATAATATTCCTCCACAGAAAAGTTCCTTCTTACAGCTGCTCCAGCTTTCGTTCCTCTGATTTTTATTCCTAAAAACCACACAGACAGCCCATGCAGCTAACTCTGTTCTCTCCAGACAGTTAAAAACTTTCCTAAGGATCCAAACTGACCAGCCGATCACCAATCAGGGCCGGTCAGGCCGAACGTTGGCCAGTACCGGTCACGAGTTGTTTCCCTGGTGCATCTCTAATAATAACTGTAGCTAAAAATAAGTCATAACGATAACGAACGATGATAACTATAAGAGTGTGGCTCAGCCTACTGAGGGACTGGTTTTACACTCAACCTGGTTTGGGCTCCTGTATTAAACTGTTGGTCCAGTTGAAGTCATCAGTCCTGCATCCCAACAGACAATCAGAATCCAGATCACAGTTCCTACTTAGTTTGGAAAACACCTCAATTTGCTTTTAGTATTTTCCTGATCTTACAAAAGGGCAGAAAGTAAGTGGAGTGTGGCAGAACGTGTGCACAATAAAAAGCTGCTGTTCTAAAAGTAAAGGCTGAACATTTCTTAAAGGAATGCATGAGAAATGACAGAGTTGTGGCTGTTTCGGTCTAACCTCGTAAATATAGTTATGTGCAGTCTCATGATTTTGCAAGAGAATGACTCTGCTACGACCGCGACAAATTTTATCTCCGTGTTCGTAAAATTGACAGTTACAATCACGTTTATGTTTGCTGAGGTTGCATCTTGAATTTGGTTGACCCTAAAAGTTAATCAAAGTTGTAGATGTTCATCAATGATTGCTTTTTGAGAGTTTCACTAAATTCAGTTCAGTGCTTCGTGGGATATTTTAGTAGCAGCCAAACACGCAGACACGAGCTGAGCAACAAACTTTAGTGTGTCAGTAAAACCTCAAACAGAATTTTCATATTTATCCTAGAATAAAGACGCTCTGTTCAAATGTTTTAAACCAGCCTTAATTTAGTGTTACTTTGTTTCCAAAACCAGACATTTTGTAATGAAATTGTATTAAATGTAGTGATCATGAAAACATTTGTGCAGTTCTGTATTTAAAGTTTCTGTTTACATTATAACAGTGATTTCCAATCCTTGTCCTCAAGAGCCCCTATCCAGCATGTTTTACTTGTTTCCCTGCTATTCAGCAGGTCTTCAGAAGATTATTCATTCAAACCAGGTGTGACTCATATCAGGGAACCGTCTAAACATGCAGGAAAGGAGTCCTTGAGGACCAGGACTGAGAACCACTGCATTATAAGATGCATCATAAACGTCACAATTAAATGTTTTCTGTATAAATGCACATTATTTGCCCTATTGCCCCACTCTGAATGTAGGGAGCATTAAGTTGCTCTGGCCATAAATCAGCCACTGTTTATTTATTTTACTCTAAATCAGAACATGGTTTTACAAGAATAAACCTCAACATTATTTCCTGCTGTCCATCTGCCTCATATCTCACAAAACATAATGAATTAACTCAGTTTAGATTTGTCAACTTTTTATTTAGACTAAATACAAAGTTGCTGTGCAACACTATTGTTGTTCCCTCTGTAATAAATCTGTTGTTCAGTCCTGTGAGCGAGCAGTTCTACACTGTTGTCATCACTTTATCACACTATTGAGCCACAGCGCACATGGTGCTCGGCGGCACAGAGGTGCATCATGGGCCGGGCTGACTTTAAACCACTTCGCCACCTCGGTCTATTCAGAGATGGTCCTGGACTGAGGTGTCTTGTGAAAGATCCTTGTTTTTGTCTGAGTTGACATGAAGGCATTGCTGAGTTGCACTACACTGATCAATCAACTTTGAAACAAACATTTCATTACCTGAAAATAAAGGTTTTAATGTTGTTAGCAGCGTGAGAAAATCCTTCAGTGACCTTTCAGGGCTACTAGAAGTGTAGGATTAGCAGTAAACCAGTATTTCTTGGGTTTTTTTTTTTGTTAACCTTTATTTATCCAGGAAAACCCCACTGAGATCACAGATCTCTTTTGACTGAGTGTTTGTGTTTAGTGTGCCCAATAATGAACAGACACACACTGTGCTGTATTGAGTTGTGCTTTTAATATGTAACGTGTGGTTCTCTCTCAATCACTTTCCCTCAGCAGTAGCAGTAGAAATGCTGCACAGCATTAAATCCTGCTAAATGTCTGTGCAAACAGGAATGCTCTACTGCTTCAGGAATGTTTGGCCTGCCAGGTGTTGAGTAAAAGGCTTTGAGAGTTGGAGTAGAAATTTACTTAACGACATATTCGCAACATTTTTCTTATTTGATTTAAAGAGTGCATGGTGCAGCGATGTTATGTGAGCCTTCATTTGTTTTAAAAGCCTATCAGTGCATGTTCCAGAACAGCCACAGCAGTTCAACACCAAACTGAGTTGTGTCAAATCTCTGCAGAGCAACTTTTAACAACCATTTCTTTTGTCTTTTCAGGAAACTGAGATCGCTACTGAGTGCAACCACGTAAGTGTCTTGGCATCAAAACACCACTTTACTCCGTCAGTCCAGTCAGTCTGTCCAGTCAGTCAGTCCAGTCAGTCATTCCAGTCAGTCAGTCCAGTCAGTCAATTAATCAATCAATTAATCAATCAATCAATTAATCAATTATCTTAAATTTGTTTCGGAGTTGGGTCGCAGGGCCTACAGCTTGAGCAGAAAGGCCCAGACCTCTCTTTCCACATCCAACTGTTCCAGCTCCTCTGGGAGAATTCTAAGGTTCCCTGGCCAGCTGAGAGACACGGTCTCACCAGTGTGTTCTCCCAGTTGAACATGCCCGGAAAACCCTCCTAGCAATGCATTCAGGGGACATCCTCTTGATGTGGAAAAGCACACGGAACAACCCTGCATCCACCTCGACAGTGGAGCAGCAGAACATGGGCCACTCAGACTCACTGTCTGCTGTCTTTGCTGGGATGTGGTTGAAGCTTTCTTGGAGGTGGGAGTTAAAGATCTGCCAGGCATTCCCAGAAAACTCTCACTACATGTTTGGATATTCTGGGTCTGGCATCTTCTCCTGCCACATGATCCAACTCACCAACTGACAAGCTTTGCTCCTTTTTTCACCTTATGTAAACATAAAGGCTGTAGCAATACACTAATCTCACGATACAATACGATATTTGATATTCAGCGAACGATACGATTCGATTTTCTGAACGATTTTAGAGGGACAGAGTGATTTTGGTGACATTTTACGACTGTTCCATAGACTTGGATTGAATTAATTGAACTGAAAACTGATTAAAAGAACCAACTACACAAAACCTGCTCTGATTGGACAGAGACCTAGTCTGCAGCTGGACAAAATTAATCAAAGATGTGGTGAGACAATTAGTTTTCTTTAATTGAAACAGTGCAAACTGTAGCTTACAAGCCTAAATATTTGGTTCCATCCAGGTAACTTTGGCCAATAAAGAGCAAATTAGCCCAAATCTTCAGGATTTGTTGTTTATGATGAGAGTAATCAACACAGTTAAAGACTTGGAGGTAAATTATTTTGTTCCCATGTTACAGAGGGGGAACACATTATTTTTACAGATTTTCACAGGGGAACTGAATTTCGCACAACACCCCCTAAGCTCGAGGCGATAGACGCATGCCTGCCTGCCTGCCTTCTGTAACGTCACGGCTGACTACAGTCAGAAAAAGAGCGCCCCGGATGAGACGCTTCAATTTGGCTTAAAATACAGACATTCTTACTAATAAGGGACTGTTGGTAACCTTACCTCAGCTTAGAAGGCAGAGGGTGTCGATCTTTTCTGCTCATATTCAGCTATCGGTGCATGAAGCTAATGTTTACTCACAATGCTAATGCTACGTTACTCTCTGGCTCCTTAGGAGTAGAGGAGCAAAATAGCTGGCTCGCTGCTGCCAAATAACGGTCAGAGGCTGAACTACAACATAAAAATGAACCGTTGGCAGGAAAGTTGACATTTTAAACCTTAATTAAAAATTGATACAGTATTGGGAAATGAAATATCGATAAATATCTGTGTATCGATATTTTCCTACACCCCTAGTAAACATATGGCTGGAGATCAGATGACACGACTACAACGTTAATCATTGATTTGAGGCCTAGGGTGTCCTGGTTCTCTATGCTCTTATGGACACCCTTGCGTTTGAACATAGTGTTTGTGACGAACAAACTTTGTCTAGCATAGAAGTCTAACTGCTAAGGTTTAGATCAGGGGGCCTGTTTCTTCTAATCACACCCTTCAGGTTAAACCGTCATTACCCACATGCTTTGAGGTGAACCCAACTATAGTTAGTTGGTACCTCATAAGCTCAGGCTTCTTCTTCACCAGAAACATGACATGTTCCACGACACCATGCACCCAACTCATATGGCCCCTCCTGCAGGAGGTGGGCTCACAGGAAGGGTGAACCATGTAACTAAAAAACTATAAGTATTTTTGAGTCAGACAAGATAAATGTCTCATTTGTTCCTGTGAGACTACTGGAATAATCTGACAAAGAAAGTTTCCATTCTGGCTTTAACTTCTGTGTTTTTGTTGGAGGTTCAGATAAAGATTTTTTTTTTGTCTGACCTCATCAAAGGACTGTAGGTCACCCCTGTAATCACCTGAAACTCTATCCTCATTTACACTTTTTGTTCTGGGCTGCAATTAATTTCTTTTTCAGATTCTGTGGAATTTGTGAAGGTTTTTTTTTTTAAATCCCTTTTTTATTTTATTTATTTATTTTTTTAAGAAAGAGATGTTCTTGTGTGCTGCATACAGCCCAGGGGCAACCAGTTGATCGAAATGAAAACATTCAAACTGAACAGCGAATGAACTCTAATAAATGTTGATTTAGATAGAAATCTAGTTTTTAGCCTGTCACAGTTAAATATTTGTTCAGTTTTGATCTCTAAGATCAGTGTGAGACTCATGATGAAGGATCTGTCTAACTCATGTTTGATCTTTCCTCCAGCTGCTGTGGAACTACAAGCTGAACCTGACCACCGACCCAAAGTTTGAGTCTGTAGCTGTGGAGGTCTGCAAGACGACAATCCCTGAGGTCAGAAGCTAAAACCAAATTTAAACTCAGCAGTTTCTAGAAACTTCAGTGTCAGTGACCGTAAGAGTGTCAGACTGAAGTTTAAAGATGTTCAGGAGAAAATAAACATTTGATTTCTAACCATTTGATGTGGAATTATGTTACTGGTTTAGGTATTCTAATAACTATTTTAGTAACGCATCAAATGTTTAGAGTTATTGTTCTGTTGTATCAAACACACAGAGTCTCTCAGGAACCTCACAGAACCAGTGGAACTGGTCATGTCCTGTTGTGATGGCCACACATGACTTCAGTGTCAGAACCAGCAGACAGGTCAGGTAGCCAGTCTGTGACCCCGGCTCTTATCTTGATCTGGTCCAACCTGTCAGAGCGGTCTCAGTTTATTTTGACATAAACGGTTTACAACACTTAACATGATGTTGTGGTCAAAAGTTCACATCCATCGTGAGCATAAATGTGTTTATTTCAGGCATTCGTTTCCTAATTTTAATTGTTTATTTTCCTGGGTGAAATATTTATACAATTTCAAAGTTTCTTTTTTAAGCAAGAATTGAATGAACAGGATTGAATTTACTGTGGATTATTTGTTTTTAAATCATACAGGCCTTGATGAAAACATTAGGGATGGGACTGGATAAAAAACATAATGGAGTTAATTACAGGCCTGTTAAAATGACTTATTTTGATTCTGAACCCCATCGTTTGGTCTGTGGGGTCTGATTGGACTGTCCACCTGCAGACAGCAGGAACCCATCGTTCTGCAGGCAGGACGACTGTAGCATTAACTTCAATAGTGGTGCTTGCTTTTTATGTCTAAATGATACCTTAAGTTTGACGTACTGTTGTGATGAGGAAACGTCTTCAGGTACTATGTTCTCTCTCTGTTACCACTTGGATGTTTTTTTTAATATCCTGCCAAACCAACAAAGCAGAACATTCTTCTTGTTCACGTTAGCTTTTAACAAAACGTCTGAGCACCTGATGCATTTCTGCCACAGCGTTGGATTGTACCTGTGCTCCATAAAGTGTACAATTCACTGAGTTCTTTTTTTTTACGCATTATTTTATCTGTAATTAATAGAGGTGCAACAATACAGAAAATTCACAATTCGGTTCGGTTCAGTATTTTTTCGATACAAAAATAAGAAATGTCCATGCCCTTTTTAACCTGTAATTTATTTAAATTATTACCATTTATTTAACCTCAAAAGTACAGTTTTTTTAAATTAAATGTTGCTGAAACAGCAAGTTTCTCAGTGGATCTGCGCTCGACAGTGCAACCTAGGTGGAGTAGTCGAACACGGATCCACTGATCCTTTAACACAGAGCATCTTCAGAAGACAAGTTGATAAAATAAATTTAAAAAATCTGTATTGTTCGATACAAGTGTGTATTGAACCTAAAGCACTGTTCGATACGGGTACATGTATTGTTGCACCCCTAGTAATTAACATTATGGAGTCCCAGCCCGAGTATGCATACAGTACATCAGGACTATTAAACTGGCGGCCTGCGAGTGACCAAAGTTCAGCCTGCCAATTGCTTCATTCACCTCTTAACCCCAAACCCCCGGTTTTCTACTTTAATTACTCTAAGTTCTTTTAGTTAGACGTAGACATGTTTGGTATATACAGAACCGTCAGAATCTTGGCTAGAAGCTGGTAAAAACCATTTCTATGAACACTCAAGACAGATAAAATTACAAGCAGTTGAAGATAAAACTATGAAAGTGAAAATAAAATTGGTTTAAATATTTGGCAAGTCAGAGATATTAAATATTATTTGTGTCAAATTGGAGGCATAAAGTTGTTGTTTTTATTTTTGATAATGTGTAATTATCACTACTTTTATAGGGTTCTGTATGTTGTATTCATGATTAAATGCTGCAAAATAAACTAATTCAAAGGTAACATATTTTTGTAATACTTGTTTTATTTACATAATGACTTTAATTGCTGGATGTTCAGCCCCTCAGCTGTTGACCGACAGTAACTGTGGCCCCCAGAGCAGATTAGTTGAATAGCCCTGCAGTACATTCACTGCAAAGTAGTTTCTCACCTGCCTTCAAGAGTTGGAGACTTGTTGGCAAACCGCATTCCTGAATATCCAACGTTTGCAGGGTTTTTAATTTCTTGACTTTAGTCTCGAATGACTGCAGTTTTATAATTTGAATTTTGAACAGGTTAAAAAAAATAGAAAATTAGTCACAGAGTTGTGGTTGTCTCTCAAACCTGCCTCAGATTTGTTCCTGACGTGTCCAACCTGCCTCGAGCACTAGAGCTGTGTTTTGACTTCGCATTGGAATATTTCTCTTATAGAAAACATTCCAGGTGGCTCAGTTGGTAGAGCTGATACCTCTCAGCAAGAAGGTCGCTGGATCAAATCCCGGCCTGGGGACCTTTCTGGGTAGAGTTTGCATGTTGTCTCCGAGCACTCCGGCTTCCTCCCACAGACCAAAAACATGACTGTTAGGTTAACTGATAACTCTAAACTGTCCCTAGGTTTGAGTGAGAGAGTGAATGGTGGTTTGTCTCGTTTGTCTCTATGTGTGTCTCTGTGATGGACTTGCGACCTGTCCAAGGTGTACCCTGCCCCTCGCACTGTGACTGCTGGATATGGGCACCAGTGACCCTGAAAGGAAGAAGCAGGTATAGATGATGGATGGATAGAAAATATTCCAGGTCTAAAATTATGCTGATTCATGATTAAAAACTAGTTTAAACTTGATGTTTTTAACTTGTTCTGTGCCATGCTGTTTATCCATCATCCTTGGTGGCTCTGCTGCACGTTCTCACAGCTTCACTTGGTTGCAGAGAGGGGTGCACTGATAAAAACAGCCAGCCGATTTACAGATCAGAGATCAGCTAGTTCATGGATAAGGTCTTTGAAAAAGGTCGGCTTCTCATCTACCTCCACAAAGGTCTGAAAATCAGCCACTGTTCCATTTTGCTCTGCTGTGAGCTCTACCTAATGTCTAGTTAAAATAACTTTGTATTGTTTCAAGGGTATTGTTCATTGTTGGTCAATAAAATCTGATTGGAACATTGAAGGTGTATTGTGACCCTTTAACGTCTGTCAGTTATTTAGAAAATCTATATCGACCAAACCATTTTAAAGCTCGATGATTGGCCAGAAAACTACATTCAGTGCACCGCTATTGGCAAACACTCAGAATTTAGACTGAAACTGAAAAATGACATGTTTTTTCACAGTTTCTAGTCAGGCTTGAGTCTCCAACTCCAGCAGCTGCTGCCCGCTGAGATCCTAAATCTTAATAAGTCGCTCTGAAAGTTCTTGAATGCCTTTTCTTGACTAAATCAAGTCCATGTTAAATAAGACATTCATAGTTTAAACCAACAGGCTGCAGACAGTTTGAAATAGATTGTCTCAGGTTTATTAAAAAAAATAAAACATCAAAGAATATGGTATGTTGTTGAACCTGTTGAAATGAGTGTTAATGATTTACAGATATTGGATCAATTTATGTCTTCATGTAGTCCACTGTCTGAACCAGAACTTTGAGGTGTTTCTGTCTCTGCTCAGATTAAAGAATGTGCTGCGGAGGAGTTGGGAAAAGGCTACCTGGTGTCCTGTTTGGTGGAACATCGTGGCAACATCAGCGACTACCAGTGCAACCAGTATATCACCAAGATGACTAGCATCATCTTCAGTGACTACCGACTGATCTGTGGCTTCATGAAGAAGTGTCTTGCAGACATCAACGCCCTGAAGTGTGGAAACATCATCACTGGACAGAAGGTGAGCAACAGGCCTGTCACAGATGGATCTGGCTTCACATGAAGACCAGCTGCTTTTTATCTTAGTTAAGGACTCCATCAATCAGTTTATATTCCTGTGACATTTACAAACACCAAACAATGAATAAGAAAAATCTAAAAAGATAAGAGTAATAAAACAAGATAGTAAAATCAAGTTGTCAAGGTTTACTGAAGACATATGTCAGTGAGGAGGTCTTTATCAGTGCCTTCAAGTTGATTAAACCTTGGACCAACCTTGGAACATTTAAAAGCCTCTGGTTTTTTGACCTCCGTGTTCTACATGAAGGATGTGGTTTTAAAAGATCCTGGACTGAGCACACATGGGATAGGATGCATTTCTCCAGGAATGTGATTATAATGTATAACTACTCGTTGAAATAGTTGTCAGAATCTTGTCCTCTGAAACATTTTTTATTTTGTAAAACTCTTATAAATGTAAAGATGTGTCTGCCAGGACTGACTGAGGGAAGCCTCACCATCAGACATTATGCTACGTTCACACCGAACGCGTTTTGAGCAGCAAAAGTTCCGATTTTTGAACTCGATCGTCGGCTGCTTTCGCCGTACCGCATGCACGGAAACCGCTATCTTCCGCTTCCTCACGTGCCGCACTAAACGGACTAGACGCTCCGCGAGACACCTAGAGGCGCGTCCACCATAGACTTTGCACGTAAACCGGCCGCTTCTGCAGCTCAAAACACGTTTGGTGTGAACGTAGCATTGAAGTCTGAGTCTTTCAAGAAGCTGTATGTTAATAAAGAGAAGCTACAGAACGTTTAAGGAAATGATAGTTGACCTACAGAGTGGCTAATATTAGAGTCTAAGTGTCAGCTGCTCTTAAACAGCTGGAAGAAAGGTTGCTCAACAAAAGTGAACCTTTTCTCATCGTGAGAGCATGGTAATCGAGCATAGCTAGCGGCTAGCTAGCATGCAAGCTAAGATGGCAAAGCCCTCTGCAGTGGTGTTGGTGGTGATGATGAGTTCTGGAGCTCAAGATTGCTGGAGTTGAATTCTATCATTTCCACTCCTAGAATTTTCTTCTTCACCAAATTCTTGAGTAAAGGGGCAGTCTGAAGACTCTTTAATTTCATAAAGGAAAGGGAAAATGACTTTTGAATATCCCATCACATGGCTGCCATCATGAAAGCTGCCTAAACAAAAGGTTGTCCTGTGACTTCTGACTCACCTTGTATGTCTCTGTCTTGTACCTCAAAATACCATGAATGCTTTGGTTTTACACAGAATGCTTTTTTTTTACTTGAATCAGTCAGTTTACTCCCGTTTAAATACTAACAGAATCACAAGTGACTGAGACTATGCAGTACATATTTATATGTATATACTATGAGATGTACTGTAGAAGACAGTACTCTGATAACAGAAAGCTCTGCCTTTAGTTCTACTGTTGCTGTAACTGTGACTGTGTGTTTCTGTGTGCAGGATGTCCACTCTCAGGGGGAGGTGATCTCCTGTCTGGAGAAAGGTTTAGTTCGTGAAGCTGAGGAGCAGCCTGGTGCTCACCACATCAAGGATGACTGTAAAAAGGCCATCATGAGAGTAGCAGAGCTCTCTTCTGACGACTTCCACCTCGACCGCTACCTGTACTTTGCCTGCAGAGACGACCGAGAACGCTTTTGTGAAAACGTGAGGATCATAAGATGCATTTTGTGTCTTCAGTTCTTGACTTGATAAATTGTATGTTGTTGGCTAAAGCGTCACTCACAACCCACCGTAGGAGCTGCTACAGGGAGTGTTCAGGTAAAAATTTGATCCAGCTGTGCTTAATGCTGTCACGTCACTTTAGTCCTGCAGAAGTTCTCAGACTGACTTTGAAGACTTTCAGTCCTGCACATGCAAAATCCATGGGTCTAATGAAAAATCCAGCAAGCATCCCATACATACTTCAAACCAAACCTAAACCAAATGAGGCGTTTTTTGAATCATAACTTTGTGATGATAGTAAGACATGCAATAGGTGCTAAAACATGATAAAACTTCATCTGGTGGGTTGTGAGCTTGGCCAAAACTCTTGATCAAAGTACTGGTTGTTTGACATATTTTTTTTGTTTAAACAGAGTGTTAATCTATAGATGTGAATGGCTGCTGAAATCTGCTGAAGAAGCTAACATTAAGATGTTATCGCTAAAAGAAGCAGAATATACGCTAACATCAAAGGAACACAAGCTAAAAGCAGCAGGGCAGTTCCAGAAACCAATGCCTAAGATATAATGAGAAAAAAGCGGTAGTTAAAATTGTTGCATCAGTTGTTAAAAGCTGCAAAACAGTAGCAAAAATAGGAAAACAGTTGTAAAAGTTAGAGCAACAGCTAAAATGAGCAAAACAATTGCTAAAGTTACCTAAAAATATGCTTAAGCTAACATTATCAACACAACAGTTAGTATTGAGTTCTTTATTCAGCAGAACAGTAGCTGAAATCAGCAAAAAGGGTGTTAATGAAAATAATTGCAATAAAAACTCTTAACTTTAAAAGTAGCAAACTGTTACTTGTGCTAAAAGGGGCATAATAAAAGCTAAAAGACAAAAATAGAGCAAGTACATGGAATATACTTTACAACAAATAAAAATCAGCACTCTATTCTTAATTGAGCTGTACAATTTGATGCAATTGGTAAAAGCAATAAAAATAATAATAATAATAATGGTGGAAATAATACATATTATACCTCAAATGTAACTGAGGACTTGATGTTCTTCACAGGTTTTAATATGAACAACACATGGTTCACTGTTCCATTGTTTCTGTAAGATAATCTCAGTTAAATCGTGTGTTTGGATCCAGATGGCAGCAGATCTGACGGTTCATTCTTTTTTTTTTCTTTTCTTTTTCCAGACTTTAGCCGGAGAGGGCCGAGTTTACAAATGTCTGTTCAATCACAAGTTTGAGGAGGCCATGTCTGAGAGGGTGAGAGCTGTTTACTTCATCTTCAGAGTGTTTTAATTTTTCAACACAACTGTTCTTTCTCATCTGTTAACCTTAGCTTCATTATACTTGTCACTTTTTGTGATCCAATGCTATTTTACATATTTACTTTATGCAGAGATGAACGGAAGTCCGTCTTTTGTTCTTAACAGAAGCTTTGACTAGACTGTCTGTAATGATGTTTAAACCAGGTGAATGTTTGAGCATCTAGACATTAAAGTGTTATCTTCCATCCAAGGATCTGAGACAGCTACAAAGTGTTCAACAACCTTGATTGGACTGTTTGTTGGTGCGTTGTTGCTCAGTTGTTGTACTTACGGGAGATAAGAAAACAACTGAGTTATGTTGCAGTCAAGGTTATTCAGCAGGGTTCTGCTGACTTGTAAAGCTTGGATTATACTTCAGTAAGACGTGAGACAGCAGGTTTGAGATTGCGTAATTTTGGACTTTTTTTTCCTGAGCGAGTATAAACGAGCTAAAGACACGGCGGACTCTAAATTATCATAGATCCTCCCTCTGCCCTCCCACAGCTCATATAAGTACATAAACAGCCATGAAGATGGCTGGATATTGTGCTTTTCTAGCTCTATTAACAATTAGCTTCATGAAAAAAATCTTTTTAAACAAAATAAGCTGCAGAAGGCAGAGCGGATCAGAGTTCTGCTCCTCAGGGCTGCTAGAGAGCTGTGGTGTTCCTCGTGAACAAACGCACCTACAAAGTTCAAACCAATCACACGCTCTGAGCCGCATGGTCCTCATCTCACAGTTCTGACTTTTCTGCACAAGATGGCCGTCACCGGGGGATAGCAGCGGAGAGCAGACGAAGTTGCGCACTTTTTTGTCACTCAGCAGGGGGAAAGGCGTCTCAAAGTATAAACCAAGCTTAAGAGACTAAGTGCTAAGTGAGACAATTGATAATCCAACTGTCTTTTATTGAAATCCAAAAGAATTTCTTTGAGGGATCCTTGATTCTAATGTAAAAGGAGGAGATGGAGATGTTGCTTCATCGTCTCCTGAAAGCACAAAAAGATGTCTGCAGTTGGTCTCGAACTCATTTGGTCTATTGAGGCTGACCTTATCTAAAATAACCTAACGTACATCAACATCCTGTCTGAGGTTAATAAAACCTTGACGAAAAATCTCCATCTTTTAATTGTAGTCTGGTTGCAGATCCAGAGCTCCCCAGTCCAGGGCTCCAGACTAACTTTTTGCACTGGTTGCACCGGTGCACCTAACATTTTTTTCTTAGGCGCACCAGCACAAAAGTTAGGTGCACCCAAATTTTCAACCATGTCGCATTTAACATCAGAGTTTTACAGGTTATTTTTTTAAATCACTGTTCATTAAGGCAACATTAACTCGAAAATAATTAGTTAACATTTACTCGAAAAATAATTAGTTAACAATCTAGTAAACATGAAGTTCTTTATTTGAACCAGAATTGTAGATCTATAACTTACTGAAAAGTATTTAAAGTGATTCTATAAAATTTTAAGGTGGCCCCTCAGATGGACAACTCCTGTAGTTTGGCCCTATGGATCTTTGGCCTTGTATAAACCAGAATGATGAACAGAGAATATTGATTAATATCAGAAATATTACTGATATTTATTAAAAGATTGTGCAGATTTAAAAAAAAAAACACATAAAAGTCTGCAATTTCATTAGCATTAATTGAATCTTATTATATTATTTCACTTAAATATCTAATGTCTAGTTTTATCCCCCTGAGACCCAGAAGAACCTATTTCAGATACTTGGAATGTAACTGTGGTGAAACTGATTAAGTGTAAAAGCGGCCTGCCGTACAGGTGAGCTTCCTCATGCTGCTGAAATGATCTGCTGCTCACAGAGCAGAACTCAAGTGTTTAGCAAGATGGACTTAAGAGCGAGCAACCATCCACATCTTCTTTTCTTCTCCACAGTTAACAAGAAAAACAAGTTTTTCAGACTCCGATCTGGGTTAAAAACAAACAAAACTACGGTTGTTTCGCTATGCGCATGCACACGTGTGTGTGTACAGATTTTTGCTTCATGGTGGGGACAATTATTGACCATTTCCCTGGTACACACAGCCTGGTGAGGTTAGGGTTTGGGTCAGGTGTGTAGTCTACCTGGGAGGTTGTGTTTGGCTGTAGGATTGACAAGAAAATGAATGGAAGCCAATGCAAAGTCCCCATGAAGATAGAACAACAAACGTGTGTGTGTGTGTGTGTGTGTGTACAGGTTTTTCCTACAACGTGTGGACAATTTCCCTAAAAAAAGATGCCTCGTGGGGACCGAAGTGAATCGTGGGGACCACTGCCAGGTCCCCACGGGTCCAAATGCAAATTACAGGCGTGGGGTTAGGTTTAGGACCAAGGTTTATGTTTGTTTTAGGGTCAGATAGGTACATGTGAGGTTAATTTTAGAGTATATGGTCAGGGTTAGGCTATAAAGTCAAAAAAACATGAATGGAAGTCAATGGAAGGTCCCCACGGGGTCAAGAAACAAACGTGTGTGTGTGTGTGGGTGCGCTGGAGGTGTGGAGCGGAGCCGCCAGCAGAGCGCAGTGTTATTAGGAGAGATGGAGACTGTCCGCGGGCGACTGTTATGGTTGATACTGCATGATTCACTTTTTTAAGGAACATGGAAACTTTTAGTTGCAGCGGGCGACCGCTCCCCCTCCCCCTCGAACGATTGGTCGCACCAGTGCGACCAGACATTGTCTTTAGTTGCACTATTAGGAAATCAGGTCGCATTTGCGACCAAATTGGTCGCACTCTAGAGCCCTGCAGTCTGTCCTTAAGACTGAGCGCAGCCACTCTACAAAGGAAGATCATTTCAGCCACTTGTTTCTAGGATCCTGTTCCTCCAGTCACAATCCAAACATCATGACCTTAGGTGACGGTCGCAACGTAGACGGGCCAGAAAATCCAGAGCTTTGCTTTTTGACTTAACTCGTTCTTTGCCACAACTGACCAAAGCAACACTCTCATTACTGAGAACGAGTCCCAGATCAACTGATCAGTCTCTCATTTTATCCTACTGAAAAATATAGCATGTTCATTTACTCCAGTGTGTGTTGAAGACAAGGAAGCAAGTACAGGATTTAAACTTGAGTAAAGCCATACAAATACCAATGCTGGGGCCATTCACAGACTTTATTCTGCAGAATGGCCACAAACATTTTCTTCTGGGAATGGTCACTCCTCTAGGGGCGATCTGTCACATCTATTGGCTGTTCTCCCTACCATGTGACCAGCAACCCATAGATAAACCATCCTACCAGCTGAATGACACATGCTGCGTGTTGAGCGTCATTTGAGGCTTGTGTTAACTAAACATTATCACAATTTAATTTTAAAAATAAGTAATCACTCAAAATTGATTATAAAAACATTTCAGAATCACCTAGAAAAACAAACCCTTATGTGTAGTAGGAATGCGAGATATAAACGATATACGGTAGAAACGATATAAATTTGTCCTATGATAGAGATCTGTAGTCTACCAGCCAACCGCGCAATTATTTTTGATGATGTAACCGGCTGGAATCAAAACAGAGGAAGCCAGAAGCAGCCTGGCTGAGAGCGCAAATTAGGAGGGGGAAAAACATAACTTATCCGGACCTGGTTCGGACGTGTGAAAATGAACGCCGAACTGTTTACATATTTACGTGACGGCGCGTCCTCCGGCCGACCGACCACACTGCCTGCTGCGGGAGGAGCGCGCGCCGCGGCATGTGTGAAGGG